GTTTTTATAACATATATATCTCTTTCTTTTGTTTTCATTTCAATTTGCTTGTTGGCAACTGTATGGATGATAAAATATCATTTTTTTGTATGCCTTTTATTCCCTAAAGAAAATATAACCACATGTCTTCATTGAGACCCTACGCTTAGTTCTTACACTAACATTTTCATCTTGCTTCTACTTTATATGTATTATTGCAAATTGTCAGTTGGTCTATAAGTTGGCAACGTGGGATATAAAGGAAATAATGGAAAAAGATATGAGGGTGTCACAACAAACTTTTAAGATCCAATAAATCTCTTGGAGTTGTAAAGGATTTTGTTGTAAGAATTCCCTTAAATTAGAAAGAGGAGCTTTAACCATAGTCTTTGATTATGAACATCTTAATAAAATTCAAAAATATATTAAATGGGAAACGATCAAATTGATGTAATTTTTTTAAATATATGTTACATAATATCATTTTCTCTCTATCTCTTCGTGGCTCTCCTCATTTGGCCGAGACCTCAATTTCTTTTCCCCTCTCCTTTTTGCAAGGTTCGACCAACACAAGAAGCCATCCATCTTTATCTCTTTCTTCATCATTTTTCCTATAGGTTTCCTTGTCTCACCTCCTTAAGACTTACCCTAGCTTAGGAGACATGGAAGGAATCCATTCTCACCTTCTAAGGTGCTTGGTGCGTCACTTGAGGCTGAAGGGAAGAGGAATGTTCTTCCATTTTAGAAGCAAAGGTTTTGTCTTCCATCCCCCTCAAGAAGTATTTAAGGTAAGAAAATGTTATTTTCTTTGAATTTCTTGGTTTATGGATTATGATTCATGTAAAGATAGAGGGTTTTTATGATTTAGGGTTGGGTATTGAAATTTGTATGTTGTTTCTTGGGGAAAAGTATGAAGGAATGATTTTAGATAATGGGTAAATGTGGAAACAACCATAACACCCACTTTAGGATTTATGGCTCATGAATAATTGGGGGTTTTTAATATTTGATATTGAAGGTTGAAATTGATGGTTGTTTATATGTATTTTTTATAGGAGTGTTGAATTTGGTAATGGTTTGATGGATGATCAACCATTGGAACCCTCATTGGGTTAAGACTTTGATTCTTGAAATTTCAAGAAAAGGGGTAAGTTTCAAAATTCCACAATTGGTAAACTAAAATAAATGATTTAATGATTGTTGTATATTTGTGAATTGATTGTTGAATTTATCTCCTTTGGTTAGGTTGTCACTTGGTGACTTTGTGTGGAACTTCCTATTTGGAACCAAAGGAAAGTGTTGAAGGGTTTTTACTTCAAGAGGTAAACTCTTGAGCCTTGGGATTAGTCCCACTTGATGTTTCACCATACTCCATTGGAGTAATGGTTGATGATGGATATGCATTGTAGTATTAGAACATAGTATGATGCATGATTTGAGTAAGTATGATTTATGTGTGAATACATGATTGAAAGGATTCTCTGGCCAATAGAATGTATGTATGGACTTTTCTTGGAGCCAGCCCATTGAGGATTTCCTTATGCATGGCTAACATCTAAGAGAAATAGCCCTAGACGATCTCTCTTGAAAGTGCCATATAAGTATGAACTTCCCTTGGAGCTAGCCCTTTGAGGACCTCCTTGTGGTAGATACCTAAGAGAAACAGCCTAAAGAGGATCTCTCTTGGAAGTGCCATATGAGATTTGTATGAAAAATAATATGACATGCTTGTTTTGATACTTATGCACATGAAGTGAACTTATGGGTGAAGTGATCCTCCAAGGACCTTTAGTTTATTGAGATTTTTACTCACCCCGTTTTGAGGAAATATATACGAGGACCTCAAGAATGAGGAGCTAGTGCTAATAGAGGAAAAGAGCATTGCTAGTCCTTTTGGAAGCATTTTGATGATATTTGGCATTTTGGAGAGCTTTTATCGAACCATATGCTTAAAAGGAATTGTATATTATTGGTTAACAGCTTGTAATTATGGTATATATAATCTCATTTGAGCTTGAGCATCATATTTTATAGTTCAAGTGCCAAAAGCTATGTATATGAGATTTATGACATTTTACCTTAGATTTCATGTATGAGAATGTATAAGGATGTTATGATATAGAATTGATGGCTTGATTCCAAACTTGATAATTCAATGAATGAAAAAAGTATTTTATGTCAATGGATAGTTATATGAATGTATAATGCATGAGAGATGGTCAATTAAGTGTTAAATGAGTCTTAGAGGCATCCTTTGTTAGCCAAATACAACAAGGAGCTATTGTTTTTAGTATTCTAGGCTTGTTCGTTGGCTTTGCTCGCTTTAGCAAGGAGAACTGGGGAAAAAGTCACCCTCTGGGTTTGCTCGCTCCAGCGAGCATCTCAGCCAACAGAATTGGGAAAAAGTCATTATCTGAACTTGCTCAAAGACTTTGTTGGCTAGAGTGAGAACCCCAGCGAGCAGAGTTGGGAAACTCACACATAGCGCAATAAAATACGCATATCTTGAGTTATAGAGCTCCAAATTTAGTGAGCCTTAAAGCTATGTAAAGCTATCTCAAAGATTTATAACCTTATAAAATCTTTAGGCCTTATGGATAAAGTGATAAAAAATCATGGTTCTATTTAAAAGTTTTTGCCTTCGTTCTGAAAGTTCAGTTTTAAGTAGTTGTTTTGTGAGTTGTATAACTCTAGCTATACCTAACCAAATGTCTCATATTATACCTTGTTGGAAAATTTGAGATGTTTGGTTTAACATAATAAAATATTAGAAATGATGGTAGAGCCATGAAATAATGAATTAAACAAGTGAATGTCTGAACTATATATAGTATGAATGCTTTAAGTTAAGTTTAATGCCATATTTAAGATAAGAAAAAGTTAACTCACCTTTTTGAAGAAGAATAATTGTTTAAGTTACAAGTATAGGTGATTAAGTAAAGCAATTTTATTATTGATTTCTTGATTATTCTTGCTACACACTAAATACCATAATGATTAATACATAATTGAAGGTATATCATCAGAAACGCGGAAGCGCATCGTACCGATGCGATGAGAAATGAAGAACACCGCTTTGATTACCTGGAATGAAGCAACGAGCGTGACAAATTCTCACGTTCAGTTCTCCTCCTCAAGCCTCACGATCTGCAGCAACGCACCACGAACGGTCGCAATTCTGCTCTACGGTTGATCTTCCAGGCTATGACTCAAGGGGATCAAGGAGTCATGTGGGCAACCGTTCAGATGACGAACGTCTGCCTCTTTGGTCTGTTTCTGATGTTTGTAACCCTTTTAGGCACAAGGGAGAAAAGAGTGTTTATATACTATGCCCAATCCAAAACTAACCCTAAGTTTCATGGGTTATATGGTGTGTTACAAATTCATTAAAATAAAAAATAAAAATAAATTAATAACACGAGTTCAATGAATTGTAATTATTACTCTAGTCTTTTTACAAAAAGACCAAACAACAAATATGGAAGTGTAAGATACCTTTCATTGAGAATCAAGGGGGTCACAAAAATAAGATAATTTCTTTTTATTTTTGTAGAAAGTAAGAATGATAAGAATAAAAAATAGCAATTCGTGTTGATGAGAGAGATGAAACAAAACCAAATTCACAAATTATATTTTGAAAAACCCACCTGATATTGTAAGAATGTCACCTAGAATAGTGAAAGATATTTGATTGTAAAATGATAGGTTGTTGGAAGATTTTACTCACAAAAATAATTGTTAATTATGGTACGAGGAGAGATAAAAAAACAAATATGATTGATGTTAAATTTGTATTTTTAAAATTTGTATTATCTTTTAGTTTTTTCTTTTTTAAAAAGAGAAAGCAAACTTAAGCTTAAAAAAAGGTACCATTTGAACTTCTTTTTTTTAAAAAAAAATTGTTATCTAAATGCATAAAATGACTTAAAAGATTTTTTTTTTAAAAAAGTTCATCAAAACACAACTAAACGAGTAATTGAAGCTCTTCTTCCTCTTCTACAACATATAATCTCATCAGGATCAATAAAAAATTAAAAATAAAAGAAAACCATTTCATCATGGCTATAATAAATTTAGGGAAAAAATGTGTATAATTTTAAGGGGAAAGATATTGTGACAACCAAGTTGTGTTACTACCAAGTGACTACCAATCAATCTTACTGTTAGATCGATTATGTTGATCCAATGGTTATATTTATTTCCATCTTTGTATGGTCGTGATTCCCCATATTTAAAGTGAAAGCATTAAATATGAGAAATCATAACCATACAAAGGTGAAAATAAATATAAAGTATTAAATTTGGGGAATCATGACCATACAAAGATGGAAATAAATATAACCGTTGGATCCATATAATTGATCTAACGGTAAGATTGATTGGTAGTCACTTGGTAGTAACACAACTTGGTTGTCACAATATCCTTCCCCTAATTTTAAAGGATGTAAAGTTGTGTCATTTTGAGTGAGAGAAAGCATTAAATTTGGGGAATCATAACCACACAAAGGTGAAAATAAATATAAAGTATTAAATTTGGGGAATCATGACCATATAAAGATGAAAATAAATATAACCGTTGGATCAATATAATCGATCTAACGGTAAGATTGATTGGTAGTCACTTGGTAGTAACACAACTTGGTTGTCACAATATCCTTCCCCTGATTTTAAAGGATGTAAAGTTGTGTCATTTTGAGTAAGAGAAAGAGATAAATAAAGGAAGAGAGAGAGTGAAAAAATATATATAAAGGTATGTCATTTAAAAGTGAAAGTGAAAGTGAAATGACATAAGTTGTATATATAAAGTTGTATCATGGTCTCAACTCTCATCTCTTTGTGAAAGTGAAATGACATAAGTTGCGTCATTTGAAAGGACAAACACTTTTTTCATAAATTTAAGATTTAGGCAATTAGATTATATGAGTTGGGCTGCAGCGATTTGGCCCATAACAAACCATACTCTGTACGCTACACGATACAGCGAGTCCATGAACTGTATTGACAGTTGAATGGTTGGGCTACAACGATTTGGCCCATAACACACTCCTCCCTTTTTCTTCCTTAACACGACACACTCGCACACTGGACTCATCGCTGTATTGAAAGTTGAAACTTCTTCCATCGACTCCATCTTCCAATTTTTCAGCTCCGTTGTCCTTGTAAGCATCTCTCTTTCTCTCTCGCAGTTTTTAAACCCTAAAATTTCAGAGCATGACAATTAAAGTTGCGGGGTGCGGTTCCCCATTTTCGCGAGTATTTGTTGGGTTTTGTGCAGTTATTTTATGTTTTTTTTTGGTAGAGTAAGCCTGATGATGGTTATTGTTTTGGTTGTTACGTCGTTTCAGGTGTCAATTTTGAATATCGAGTATGTCTAGGTCAGTTGATCTTCCTCCCAAGGGTGGATTCAGTTTTGATCTCTGCAGAAGAAACGAGATGCTTGAAAAGAAGGGTCTTAAGCCCCCTACCTATTTGAAGACTGGGACGACTATTGTTGGTTTAGTTTTCCAGGTTTGAAATTGTTTCTATTGCGTGTCCTTATTCATTGTTTTTTTATTTTTTTTTATCTGGTCTTCGATTACTGTTACATGTATCCCTGTGTTTCATGTGTGTGTTGTGTTTTTATGTGGTTTTCTGAAGTATTTAGGGTTCACTCGCTTCCTTGCTTCTTTATCATGAGTTTGTGGTTAAAATTAATTAGTGGGTCCACGTGGAATGATGGATCCAGACACATTCAGATTGGAATCTAGAATGAATTATATCTGATATTTAGCTCTGGCATTCTGAGGTTTCTTTGTGTGGGTAAATTCTGTTTTGTATTTGAAAATTGTTAAACAAGAACTAGAAGAATGCAAAAGAGAGGGGGAGAACCTGGGAAGCCAAGAATGGCCCGGGATATCGCAAGTTTTTTGTTTTGAAAATCTTACATTACAGCTTGTTGGACTCGATTACTATCTTTGAAGCTGGACTACTCTTCCTCTCTGTTTCTCTCTTTCTTTTGAAGCTTGCTTGTTGAGATTATCTTATCTTATCTTATAGTAAAATGTTGAATTTTATTCTTAAACATATGAAGGATTGATTTTCTTTTCTGGAATGATTTTGGAAACAATTGGTGATTAACCAAGTCGTGAAATTCGTCCATTGATTTATAAAAATGGTAATAAATAGCTGGCTACTTCTAGAAAGGCTTATCATATTGAACTCAATGGTGGATCTTTAGTTGGTTCACTGAGCATTTTTCTCACCTGCTTTGCTTCATCTTGCTGGAGAGCAGACACTGAGGCTGTGGTTTTCATTTTATTGCTGAGGTTTAATGTCCACTTTTTGTATCATAAATTTGAAACTAAGTTCCTCTGTCTACGGACTGCTGTCTTACAAAATTGTTCACATATTGGGAATTGTACTGTTTGTCATCTATGCTCTTAATGACTTTACATGTCACTGTCACTGTTCCATATAAAGTTTTATATAACTGCATATGTTGATTAAATATTTTTATTTTTTAAAGTTTTTTTTATAGTATAATCTAATGTTGAAGTTTTCGACGTAATAAATTTGCCTCAGGATGGTGTCATTCTTGGAGCAGATACTAGGGCAACTGAAGGACCCATAGTCGCTGATAAAAACTGTGAGAAAATTCATTATATGGCACCCAACATATATTGCTGTGGAGCAGGCACTGCTGCTGATACAGAGGCAGTGACAGGTATTCTTTATAAATGCACCTTTCTTGTTACACATTTTTATTTCATTCCTTATAAATAGTTGCAGGTGGCCGGTGTGTAGTTTTTCCTCTTGTTATTATAATAAAACCATTGTAAACGATAAGTTTGTTATTCACTGTAGACATGGTTAGCTCCCAGCTGCAACTACATCGCTACCATACTGGTCGAGAATCAAGAGTTGTTACAGCATTGACCCTTCTTAAGAGACACCTTTTCAAGTTGAGTTTCAGAACTTACATCTCAAGTGAATTTGCTCTCTTTATCAACCTCTGATTCTGACTCTCTTACATTATTGTACAGTTACCAAGGTTATGTCTCAGCTGCTTTAGTTCTTGGTGGAGTTGATATCACTGGACCTCATTTGCATACTGTTAGTTCATTGCTCAAGATTTTGTAATTTTTACTCAAGTTTCCTTGTTTTGAATGCATATTGTCCGATTTCTTATGACTTTTGATGACTTGTTGTGCAGATTTATCCACATGGGTCAACTGACACCCTCCCATTTGCAACAATGGGATCAGGTTCACTTGCTGCAATGTCTGTTTTTGAGTCTAAATACAAGGAAAGCTTGAGTGTAAGTAAAGCATATTAAGGCTTAGAAATCATGCCCTTTTCAATAGAGCTGTTTATTAGAATAATTATCAGGAAAGGCACAGCTAAAACATGTTAGACGATACATTTGACAATATTCTTTCTAATTATATTCTATTTATAATATTTTCAGTGGGATGGTATGAAACTAATATGTCCATTTCCGGTCTAAATATAAAGATGTACATTATTTCATTATATTTGTTATAGTTGATACTGGTGGTGTTTGTAACTTTAGCATGACTAAATGTTGCAATTTGATTAAGATTTTAATTTGCTACAAACATTTTGATGTGGTGCAGAGAGATGAAGGAATAAAACTAGTTGTTGAGGCGATATGTGCCGGTATATTTAATGACTTGGGAAGTGGAAGTAATGTTGATGTTTGTGTGATAACCAAGGTTAGTGGCTTGAAGCCCAATTCTACAAGTTATTCTTTGAGGGGAAGAGTCTAACTTTAATTTATGTGCAAATTCATCATTAATGCTTCACAGGGACATAAGGAATATCTCAGGAACCACCTCCTGCCTAATCCTCGCACATATGTCAATCCAAACGGCTTTGATTTCCCCAAAAAGACTGGTTTGTTACGAACTTTGCTAGTTTATTACACCTGAGACCATAATGACACTATATTGCTTTGCTTAGCTATGTGCATCAATATCTTGCTGTCATTTTAGCATGACATAGTATTTCTGATCTGAGAAATTTGGTGATCATGAGAATATGGTGTTGTGAAGTATCTCTTTGTACTTCCAATTCTAACAGTCATCTACCCATACTTATATAACTGTGTAAATAATATCTTGTTGCTATTCTGTTTAAATAGTTGACGGAACTGTGCATTTGCGCACATTTTTCCAATTGAAGAATATGTTCTCCCCAATCACCACGGCATATATTAGGGAGTAGAGGAAAAGGTAGAGCAGGGATTTAGGTGCATGTGTGGAGGGTAGGGAAAAGAATGTGATAGGTAATCATTATGGGCATATGCAATGTAACAATCTGGCAGATTGGGAAAGGAGCAGGTAAGGGAATCATTTAGAGGGAAATAAGATAAGAATTGAGGAGGAGGCAGGAAAGGAGGAAGGTCTGTCTATTTCTGGCACTGATATAATCTAAATATCAGTGTTGGAAGGGCTTTATGTGGTTTATCTAATAAAATACCCAGTTATTTCATCTGGTTCCTTTCACAATGGTGGCCCAATACCCAAGGCTAAGAGTGTGTATGCATAGTTTAATGCATGTCATATACACAATTTCATTGGTGGGACTTACGCAATCTTACAATTTTCGGGGTTGATTGCTTCAATTAGAAGTAAAAGTAGGCAAATTGTGCATAACCCTTAGTTTAAGAGTCTTGTATAATTTAGCCTACATAATATACATCCATGACATTATTTAAATAAAGCAGAATTCCTTCTGAGGGTTTGAGATGATAATCAGACATTGATGTATAGTCTGCCTCTTCTGTGTCTGCCTGTGTTCCCTATCGGGGCTCTTCTTTTTTTCTTGCTGATAAAACAGTATATAGTATGTTACATTTGAAATTATTGATATATGATCTCTAATATTTTATATTTATCTCCTCTACAGAGGTTCTCTTAACAAAGATTACCCCCTTGAAGGAGAAAGTGGAAGTGATTGAAGGAGATGCTATGGAAGAGTAGCAATTACTTGAAAATTAATTGGTGTTCGAGTCTGAAACTTGATTAGTGCAATGTTTGTGATATTTTATAATTGTTCTTCCAGAACATTGGCTTTTATTTACCTAAAATGATTTCCATTTCATTAGATTCTTGCTAGTTATTTTCCTAAAATTTCGTCATTTGGAATGTGTTTTCGTCTCAGCTTCCAGTTTTGGCTACCAAATGCTTAACGTAGCAAAAACAGAAGAAGAAAAATAGCTAGCAAGACAAATAGCCGTAGAGCCACCATTTCCGTTGATTGAATGGTAGAAGCACCGAATTGGATTTAAGAAACGTCGGTTCCTTTCCGATAATTCAGGTGGCACAAGGTGTGCTGGATTGCTCGCAGATCTTGGACAGCCCATTGATTTGGATTTTAGTTGACCGTTCAATATGTAGCAATATAACTATTACACTCAGCTGTTTCTTAACAATTAGTTATTTTCTATTATAGATACCCTTCACCACTAGAGCTGTCAAAATAAACCTCAGCCCGCGGGTCAGGTTTACAACCCCAATTTTCAGTCCCTTTTTTTTTAGCCCACTTGTAGTAGGGTTATTTTGACCCTAGCCCCATCAACCCTTATTTCTTTTGGGCTAGGGTGGGATTAATCGCGGACAACCCTTTTTTTTTTTTTTTTTTTTGTCTAAACCTTAAATCCCCAATTTTTCTTTCTTGTGTTTTTTCTTCCTAGCTGTTCCGATCTCTTCTTCTTCTCTCGTTTTTGCTCGAGCCACCACATCCTTGTCTTCAAGAATCAGTGGAATCGCAACGCGTTGAATTGGAGTGGGTTTCTCTATTCCCATTTTGAGTAACGCACGAATGAGGCGAGCGTCCAATCCAAGCTCTTTGAAACTTTGATCCTCCGCTTTTTCGTATTCGTGCACAGTTTCTTACTTTCTTTTGATGTGTTTTTGCGTGTTTCCGTTATCACTGCTTGCAGTTGAAATTGATATTGCGACGGTGGTGAAATTTGAATGCATAATCGTTTAGTGTGCATGACAACCATTCTATTCCCTGACACTGTTTCTGAAAAAAAGCAATTCTTTTCTATTTCTGTGTCTAGTAACAGTTTCTGAGAAAAAAATGTGTTTGATAACAGTTCTATTTTTATTCTGAGAATGAGAATTGTATTTGATAACACAACAAATAATATAATAAAAAATAATTCTTATTAAATATAAAAAAATTTCGGATCATCACTTTCTTTTTCATATGGTGTGGTTGTGGTGGTGATGGCGACAGCAGTACGGTAGTGGTAGTGGCAGTGACGTGGTGAAGATAGTAGTGGTGGTTGTTACGGCAGTGGTTGCAGCGATAGCGGTGGTAATGGTGGTGGCGACGGTGGTAGTGGTGGTGGAGGTGACGACAGTGGCTGTGATAATGGTGGTGGGTATGGTGGTTGGTGGCGGCAACAATGGTAGCAGTGTCATGGTGGTGGTGGTTGTGAAGGCATCATGGTGGTGGTGGTGGCAGTGGCTGCGGTGGTGGTGGTAGGTGACAGTGGTGGTGGTAGTGTAATGGTGGTGATAGAGACGATAATGGCTGTGACAATGGTGGTGGTGGTTGGTGGCGGCGGCGACGGTGACGATAGTGGCTGCAGCAATGGTAGTGGTGGCGTCGTGGTGGTGGTAGTGGTGGCGATGGGGGTGGTGGCATGTGATGGCGATGGTGGCGGTAACAGCAGTTGTTGCGATGATGGTGATGGTGGTTGATGGCGGTGGTGGTGACGGTGATGGTGATAATGGTGGTCGTGGTGGTGGTGGTGGCGGCGGTGGTAGTTGTGGTGGTGGTGACGCTGGCATGATGGTAGTGATGGGTGGAGGTGATGGTGATGGTAATGATGGCGTGGCATCCTGGTGGTGAGGGGTGGTGACGACGGCACTAGTGGTACGATGGTGGCGACACTCGTGTCGAGATAATGGTGGTGGTGGTGGTGGTGATGATGGTAGAGGTGGAGAGTGATTGAGAGAGACAAGTGTTTCTCATTTTGTGCCTGGAAACAAAGAAACAGAAATTTTCTGATTCTTTTTTCTGTTCCCCAGCACAAAAAATTAAACTGGTTCATCCCGGGAACAAAAAAATAAACTGGTTTTACCAAACGAGTTTCCTATCCATTTCTGTTCCTGGGAACAGAAATTAAAAAAGAATTGATTCCGGGAAGGTTGTCATGCACACCCTATGCCACTGTTAATTAGATTTTTTTTGTTTAGGTCTTCACTCTTCAGAATAGGGAAACAATTGAAGTGACAAGGATCCATTTGTGATCCAGCCCAAGATATTGGGCTGCATCAGAATTGTTAATTTTCACTACTTTTTTTAAAAAATAATCTAAGATATTATCACATTTTTCTGATTATATATGTATTTCAAAATTAACTTAAATTTAATGATTCTTATAGTAATATAAGATTTTGTAATTTTTATAGTAATATAAAAGAATAGGCTAATAATTCTTACATCAGTTGCTTCTGAGAAGTGTGGAATATGTGTGTGATTAAGTGGATTTTATAATAGACTTTTATCTAAATTGATTTTTGGCCCGCGGGCTGGCTGGCCCTAACTGGTGGGATTATATATTTTTTTGGTCTATGTGGGCTGTTTAATATGCGGGCTTTTCGGCCTTGGTCCACGCGAGCAAGGGCTTAATGGGACGGGCTGGCCTATTTTGACGGCTCTATTCACCACTACTAATGTTCTCTGATTCTAATGCTGGTCGGATTGTCTATGAATAACTATGGGTGTGCATGACAACCATTCTATTCCATGTCACTGCTTCTGAAAAAAAAAATTCTTTTCTATTTATGTGCCTTGGAACTATTTCTGGAAAAAAAATGTGTTTGATAAACATGTTTTATTTTTGTATTCTGAGAATGAGAATTGTGTTTGATAACACAACAAATAGTAGAATAAAAAATCATTCCTATTAAGCACAATTTTTTTTTCGAATCATCACTTTCTTTTTCATATAATGTGGTGGTGGCGGTGGCGGTAGTGGTTGTAGTAGTGACATTGTGGTGGCGGTAGCGGTGGTATCATGGTGGTGGTGGTGGTGGTGGAGGTGATGGAATGGTGGTGGTAGCGGTGGCATTAGTGGTGATGGCATGATAGCGGTGGCAATAGTGGTAATGGTGGCATGGTGGTGGTAGTAGTGTGGTTGTGGTGACGGTAGTAGTTGCGGCGATGGTGGTGATGATGGTGGCGGTAATGGTGGTGATAATAGTGATGAAGGTGATGGTTGTGGTGATGGTGGTGGTGACAGCAGTAGCCGCAACGGTGGTGGTGGTGGCGATAGTGGTGGCGATGGTGACGACATGGTGGTGGTGACGGTGACGGTGGCGTGATAATGGTAGTGATGGCAGCGACAATGGTGGTAATGGTGATATAGTGGCGGCGGCGGCGGTAGTGGTGGTGGTGACAGCAGTGACTGCGATGATGGTGGTGATGATGACATGGTGGTGGTGGTGGCAGTGGTGTAGTGGTGGAGGTGGCAGTGGCATGATAATGGTAGTGGTGGTGACGATGGTGGTGGTAATGGTGGTGGCGGCGATGGTAGTGGAGGTGGTGGTGGTGACAGCAGTGTCTGCGACGATGGTGATGGAGATAACGTGGTGGCAGTGGTGGTGATGGCGATGACGACGGTAGTAGTGGTGGCATAGTGGTGATGGAAGTGGCTACGATGATGGTGGTGGTGGTAATGACGGTGGTGGTGACGTGGAGGTGGTGGTGGTGGTACGACGATGGTAGCGATGGCCGTGTCGGGAGGGTGGTGGTGATGATGGTAGTGGTGGAAAGTAATTGAGAAAGATAAATGTTTCTCATTTTGTGTCAAGGAACAAAAAAGCAGAAATTTTTGAATTCTTTTTTCTGTTCCCCAGCATAAAAATTAAATCGGTTCATCCCGGGAACAAAAAAATAAATCGATTTTACCAAACGAGTTTTCTATTCATTTCTGTTCCCGGGAGCAGAAATTTAAAAAAAAATGATTCCGGGAAGGTTGTCATGCACACCCTATATCTATGAGAATATGACAAAGTGAGACTATTCTTGTTGGAGCCTCCGTTAAATTCATCATAGTACTTACAAGCAAAGTTGGGACTTACAGAGGCAAATCATAGCCTACTGCCCACATAGTCTTTTCTTCTATGTTAATGGGAGATTTTTCCAGACACATCTCATGAACATAATGACCATAGGTCTGTAGCAGAGTATCAATTTTCATGTCATAACCTTTCTTGTGTCGCAGAGGATCAATTTTCATATCATAACCTTTCTTGTGTAGTAAAAGATTAATTTTCATATCATAACCTTTCTAATGCACAAGATCCATATCTATTAGAGTGCAGAGCATACTCAGTATGACTATGGTAAATAAATGATCATAGATTAAACTAGAGGGCTAAGAAAGAGAAGATAGAATTTTTAGAAAGCCATTAGAGAACAACACACTTCTTATTGATAGGTAGGAAACTCTTGCCATTACAAGTCCATAAGGTCAACTATTTATAGGACAAGAAAGCATAACAAGCCAAACAACGTTACATCATCACTTACATCACATCCATAATACAATTCTTTAGAAAAGTAATACAACATTCTAGAAAAGTACATCAAGACAAACACTGCAGGACAAACTTTATTACATAAGCGCTTATATCATCAAACACCACACACCAACAAACTAATATTGGGCTTAACAAACTACTTAGGCCCACAACTAAGTAACTCAAGTCCAACCCATTTTGATAATGGGCTTATGTTCATCTAAGTTCATTCTTTCACCGGATTCTTTACTTCTTTTTTCTTCTTTCTCAAGTTCAAGCATTAGAAGATATTCTTCAAAACTTTCTTCAATGATTGGGGTACTTGGAATCTTCTCATCATAAGGATCCTGAGAGTCTTCAAATATGGATGGGACAGGTTCTTCATCTTTGTTAGCATCATTTGCTTGATAACACTCTCATTTAGAATTGGAAATCTTCAGTGCTTCATTAAGCTCTTCCTGGTATTTTACTAGGTCTGCACTAAATTGATCTCTGCACTAGGTAGGGAAAGCTTCCCATAGGGCGTCATCTTCCTATTTAGGCCAAAGGGCTTTAGGGATCACTCCACTGAGCTCTACAAGACACTTTTGAATGTTTCTGATGAAAGAGCCTGGTCTGAAAGGATCAAAAGAGTAACCAAGAGATGACCTTTTTGACAGTAGATTGTGGTAGGATGATGAAATCCATCATAACGAATTCAGTTTTTATCAAGATAAAAGACAAGTACTTGGTTAGGCCTTTTGGAATTATATTCTTTTCCCAAATGACAGAGCCAAAGTTCTTTACCAGGGAATTGGTAGAGAAAGGAAAGAAAGATGTATTCATGAAAAGGATCTTCTTTCAGCATCTTATTGTAGACAATTTGGATTGGAATTTCAATGGTAAT